ATATGGGAAATATTGCAATAATTAATAAATAATAATCCAAGAATAAACTCTGTGTTTTGAATACTCACAACTGTAAGCTCACTTTTCCCCACCCTGTGTAAGTTTTATTTACTCTGACTTCAGTTGCTTTTCTTAGGTGGGCCCTCGATAGAGACATGTACTTGCCGACAGTCATCAAACATGTGTAGATAGTAGAATCGCTAATGTTTCTGGGTGAAAAGCATTCCCCCTTCACACTGCTCATCCATGCTTCCAAATCCAGGTCCATGGTTGAGACCTACACAGTTTTTACAATTGGCCCAAGAAAGTTAATGTTCTTTTCTACTTCAAGAGTTTATACTAGAGGCAGAATCTACACTGCTCAGTCTGTCTTCCCTCTCATAGTGATTCTCAATGTTTATTTTGTCTTATAATTACCTGCAGAATGTTAAGTTAAAGCAGATTTCTTACACCACCCCAGAGTGCCCACTAACTCAGTATGTCTGGGCTGAGGTCAAAGAATTTCTAACAATTTCCCAAGTGATGCTGATACTACTGGACCAGGTACCTACCACACTTTGAGCACTATTGCTATTTAATCAGTAATATCATGGTTGAGAGTATGGGCTCCTGAGCCAGATCTCCAGCTGGAATTCCAGCCCCACCACTTATGAGGTGTGTGGCTTTGGATAAGTTATTAAACTCTGGGTACCTGCAATCTCTCATAAGTAAAATGAGGTAATAGTAATGTCCCCCATGGGGTTACTATAAGGGTTAACAGAGTTCAAGTAAAAGAGACTGGAACATAGTAAATTTATTAAAATATGTTGGCTAATATTTATTCATTGTGGTTATTATACATGGCAGGTACTCAAATGCTCAGTTCATTGGAATTAATATTCATACCTATGATGATGTTAAGACATGAGACCTCACTGAAACCGGTTTGGCTCAGTGGATAGAGCGTCGGCCTGCGGACTGAAAGGTCCCGGGTTCGATTCCGGTCAAGGGCATGTACCTGGGTTGCGGGCACATCTCCAGTGGGGGATGTGCTGGAGGCAGCTGGTCGATGTTTCTCTCTCATCGATGTTTCTGACTCTCTATCTCTCTCCCTTCCTCTCTGTAAAAAATCAATAAAATATATTAAAAAAAAAGACATGAGACCTCTTTATTTTATTTTATTTTTTTACAAAAAGGAAATTCATTTTATTACAACAGCACTCACATCTGCATCAGAATGACCAAACCACCTATCCATCCAGCAAAATAAAGAAAGAAGCTGAGATGTAAGGACACTTGCTTCTTTTGAACTTCAGGAGCAGGAGCAGGTCGGTTCTCATAATGCTCCTGCCAATATCATGCAACAGGAGACTGAGCCTGGGAAGACTGGGGAGTCGGGGGAGGTGATCCATGGGCCTTCAAGAACTTCTCAAGTTGTTTTGTCATCTTATCTCGGGCACGGTTCTCCCGGTGCCTTGCTGCCAGGCGGAGGAGCACGCTCCTCACCCTATTTTGGACATGGGGCTGTCTGAAAACAGTGATTTCGATTAAGCTCCCGGGGTTCACCTTCTCCACCGTTAGGAGGACCTGGTTCATCCACTCTATTTCCGGAATCATGGCTCCGTTTTTGCCGAAGATGGGGTCAGCCAGACATGCCTCTAGGTAAAACACCAATGGGTCTCTCAGCTCCAGCGCAGGAAACCACCAGGGCCGGGTGCGAATCCGTGGCAGTGGAAGCGGCATCTTGAGCAGCCTGTCCAGGGCCTGGGCGGACATCCATGGGTCCTCCTGGACCACAGCACCGGGCTGGTCGACCATGCTGGGAGCTGCAGCTCCAGGGCGAGGTCGAGTGGCTCTCACAGAACTCCCAAGACATGAGACCTCTTTAAGCAGCAGGAGACACTAAGATGTCAGAGGTTAGATCCCTTTATAGCTCTTTTAGGAGGACATTTTTAATTGAAATATTTATTGGCAGACTATAGCTTACCAATTGTTTGGGATTTTTTTTAATATATTTTTTTATTGATCTCAGAGAGGGAGGGAGAGATAGAAGCAACAATGTTATTTACAATAAGCCAAGATTTGGAAGAATCCCAAGTACCCATCTAGTAGATTCATGGATAAAAAAGCCCTGTTGCATTTACACAATGTAATATTACTTGGCCATAAACAAAGAAAGATATCTTACCTTTTGCAACAGCATAGATGGACCTGGAAAGTATTATGCTAAATGTCAGCTATTTGGCTAGAGCATATAACTAGCAACTATAATGGGTGAAGATCAAGGCTATCCATTTTTCATTCCTGTAGCTATTGGGTGAAGTTCAGACCTGTAGGACCTAAGGTAAATTGTGTTCATACAGAGTCTCAAAAATAAATCAAATTAGCCCTGGCCAGTGTGGCTTCGTTGGTTGAGCATTGTCCCAAGTACCAGGAGGTCACTGGTTCAATTCCGGTCAGGGCACATGCCCAGGTTGTAGGCTGGATCCCCAGTAGGGGTCATGCAGGAGGCAGTCGCTTGATGTTTCTCTCTCTCTCTCTCTCTCTCTCTCTCTCTCAAACCAATAAAAAGATACTTTTAAAAGATAAAATAAGTAAATCAATGAAGTTCAATTTGGAAAAAATTGTTATCAAACCTTAAAATGGTGATGCATTAATATAAAGTACATTTGCAGCTTTCAAATGTCATTACAAAGAAGTAATTATAGACTGCATCAAATCATACTTTTCTCCCCCAATTGTATTGACCACAAATTGCAAAAGCTACAAACTAATAATTAGTCACTAACCTAGACGTTTATGTACCTAGCAGATTAAGTTAGATAACAATGACCATAGTTGAGTGACAGAATGCTTATATCTGTGATGGCGAACCTTTTGAGCTCGGTGTGTCAGCATTTTGAAAAACCCTAATATAACTCTGGTGCCATGTCACATATAGAAATTTTTTGATATTTGCAACCATAGTAAAACAAAGATTTATATTTTTGATATTTATTTTATATATTTAAATGCCATTTAACAAAGAAAAATCAATAGAAAAATGAGTTTGCGTGTCACCTCTGACACGCGTGTCATAGGTTCGCCATCACTGGCTTATATTATGGCTTTTATCATCTATTGTCTGTATGCTTAGGTGATTTGTATACCAAAGAAGAACTGATTTCAGATTTTAACAACATATTTGTCTGCCAGTGGTCTATACCATATCAACTCAGATGTGTTCCAGCATGAACTGTTGCATTTTTAATAACTCACCTCATTTTTCTGAATGATGGATTTTGTGAATTCCAAGAGCCATAGGTCTTTATGTTTTCAGTCTGTGTAACAAGCAGATGACATGATTTT